GGCTGTGGCCAATAACTTCTGCTCAAGACCAACATGTAGGATCGAATCTCCCCTCCCCCACAGTGCCGTTCTCGCTTCGGCTGCCTCGCCTGCACGAGGTGCCAGACATCCAAAAGCTCGCCCTTCGGCCATGGAACTACCTGGATCCGAGTCTGTGGGGGAATCTTGGCCGAGACAACGTTGACCGGGACAACCTTCACGATTCTGAGCAGCACCGACTGTGGCACAAACCCGCAGGTGAGATCTTCTTTGGAAACGTCGCGAGGTGAATGTCCACAGCAGGTACAGCAGTCGTGTAAAGACTGTCGGGTTGGTATCCTACCCGCAGGGTTTACTTTTTGTCGCGCGTTTCGACATGCAGAATTCAGTCAGAATACTGCCAGAGTGTCGCACGATCTCAACGGATTACCTCCCGGAGCGCGTTTGAAAGTAGTCGGAACTTCAGCCTGCAAGCAACCATTTTTCGGGGGTGGATGCAAGCTTCTGTGCCTAGACTATTGTTGTTGAGTTAAGTCCATGTCCTAGGTGTTGTCGGCCCTGGGAGGAATGAGGGGGTTGTAAAACGCCTGCGCACAGTCCCCTGTGGTGACCTAAAGGGGTCCAACAACGCGATCGTCATCTGCTGGTGGTCATGTAGCCGAAACACAGCCTTCTCTGGTAAATCACCCATGATCACTGGCCATGCGTCGAGGACCGGAAAAATGTGTTTTTTTTCTTGGTATTATTGGTATTTGATTTTTGTTCGTAGCCGGCTCAACAGGGGGCGTTTTACCGCGGGTACCTCCCCTCCCAAACCACGAAATACGTTGTGTTCCTCCTACGAAACGTTACATTTGGCTGGTGCGTGGGTACGCATTCATCGATCAAGAAGCTGCACAACACAAGCACTGTACGGCTATAATGTAGCCCTGCAAGCGTACCGCTACGGTAGGGTGTGGTATTTTCGATCATTCACTGGATGCAGACTTTGTTGCATCGAGGAAGTGTGTTAGTATAGGGTTGTCTTGCTTGTTGAGTCGGTGACACGTCGGCGATAGCGGCGCGTCGGTTGTTGGTGCAGACTGTGCAATTCGTGTGATTCATGCCAAAGGATGGAACGTCAGGGTACATGCAGCCGTTCGCTAGCTTGCCCTTCAAACGCTCAAAACACGCTCGCCGCTGCTGTGCTATCGGAGTCTTCAAAATATTTCGTGTGGTATGGGAGGCGAGGAAGGGAGAACAATAGGTAAGGACGGGTAGAACAACGTTCGAGATGGAGATAGGTTGATGCAATGGGCACCCTTGAAGGGTTTCGGGAATAAAAGATACAACAAGTATAAGCGATCCCGGCTAACGAGTAAACGAACGCTATCATCGTAGAATCGGCGACAAACTGTGTTGGGGTTAGCGAACTGAGCGAACTTGAGACGAATTTCATCGAACCCACGCCGGGGGAGCTTTGGCCTCGTCAAGGACTTCAATTCCGTGCGGAAGCACGCCATGTTGACGAGCCTTTCGCCACTCGTGCTATTGTCCACCACCCGTGGTTGGGTCAAACATTTGTATTACTCCACCGGGGAATGCTACGCGTGAGAGGTCCTGGTCCATCCTTGCTGAACATTCGGCTTAGTTCGACAATGCGGAGTGCTCGCTTGGTGTTCTCCGCATAGTCCAAGCCAGACAAAGTTGATTGACTATCCGGCAAAAGTTAGGAATTAGTCTACACGCATCTCTGCCACAACAACAGTGTAGGCCTTCCAAACTACTCCGTACAAAAAAAGTCCCATAGGTAACCAATGAAAACAGCAAACGGTCCAAGTGCCCTATGAGATCGGCTCAGGGATAAACGAGAGGAGCTAAGCTACGAACGAGCTCCACCAGACCACGACGATCCAATTTTTCCAATCGCTGGAGACAAGAACCTTCCGGCGCGTTCTGTTTCGTCCAATTACTAGACGGTGTAGAACGTCGGACTACCGCCTATCAGCACGAGACAGCGCCATATCCAATCGCCGAAATAACCTCTCCCCAACATTGCCCGGTGTAGCGAATCATCAAGATGCGCTTTGCATTCCCACTCTCAAAGTAGATTATCATCCTCCTCTCTTCCAAGACTACCTGGGACCAAGTAACACCCTATACCACAATTGTACGAACTTTCTTTGCCCCCGTCAATCACTCCTTCTCGACGGGCTGCTACCGAGTTCAGCCGCTGTACACCGTTATGCCACGGTTTGATATGTTTCAGTACCCCAGTCTTTTCTCTCCCTGAATGTCTGGGAACGAACGCTCGTGCAAGAGGTTGAAAATTAACCATATTGGGTAAATAAAAGAACCCATAAAGGATCAATATTTCGCGTACCAAGTTTTTGACACGAATGGCAGAAGAATCGCGGCGTTTCTTCGACCCCTGTTCACAACTCCAATTCCATAAAATAGTTGGGTAGAGGAGCACGACGAGGAGTCGGCGATGGTGCAAAACGAAGGGTAGCCGAAACACAGAGGGAAGCCGGCGAAATTCGGTGGGCATATAAGGAAATCAGCCGAGGAAGCCAGCGTGGTAGCAAGGAATAAAAGACGGAGGGGGAGGACCGGGAGATGGCCGCGGCAAGAAGAGAGGAGGAGGACAAGGAGGCTGAAGCCGCGGCGGTCCCTGCCGCCGAGGGGGGAGGAGAAGAACGAAGAAGACAACCGACCGTGCACGAAGTGTGGAGGCGGCGATGGGTTCGAAAAGATGATGCTTTGTGATATCGACCTGGGCGGTGGTTGGGCGTGTGACAAAGCCGATCACATGAGATGTGCCAGACTCGACAACGAACCAGGAGAGGTGAGAGCCAGCAGGGAATGTGTCACCAGTGTTTAGCGGCTTTGGTGCGGCAGAAGCGAAATCCGCTGGTGGAGAATCCGAGACATACGCTACAAACAGCTTTACTTCAGAATACTCATCTCTCCGTCCAGACCATATGTACACGTACCTCTTACCACATGTAGACGTACCGGTGTGCACCAGTGGTTTTGCCCGGAGTGCGAGGACTGGGACGAGGACTCAGACGGGGACTCAGACGGGGAGTCGGTGGGGGAGGGAGAAAGGGTGGCGAGGAGGACGAGGCTACCAGAGAAAAAGGATGAGCCCGCGTTCCAGGCGTCGATTCCGACACCTGTTGAACACCCTCACCCGGAGCAAGACGAATTTGTCCGAAACAGCTGGCAATTTCAAGGCTTCGCGGAAGAGGGCAACTTATATGGTAGGGGTATCACTTACTCAAACGTCTGTGAGTACTTTGATTATTTTGTCGAAAAGTGAATAGTGGTGGATTGTACGGAATCCAAGTTTTGGGGGAAGAGTTGCAAGGGACTCAAGTACGATCGATCAATGGTCAAGACGGGATTGTCGTCAGCGCGAACAGCACAGTGAGTGATACATCCGTGTACACTTATGTGCTGGACCGACGGGTCGGAGAGCAATTATACCACGTATGAAGTGCTTGAGAACGCCGTTGCGGGTCAGGGCGTCGAACCGCCTAAGGAAGACAAGAATGTCGCCAAGATATATATGTGTGCGACAATAGCTGTGCTGCGCGTCCGCGTGCACTTGATCGCTGTCCAAGACACGAACCAGGGTACAACACCCACAAAGGGTTCGGTTATGTGAAAGAAGTCCGAGGAAACAAGGGAGGGATGATGCCGGATTTCGCGTTGAACGTGTATGCACGAATTGGTTTCCACAAACGAGTGCATCATGGAGATTCAACTCGAAACGCAAAGCGTTGGTCCGCCATGTCGTGAGGGGGGGACAGCAGGCGTTGAAGTTGGGTCGTTTTCCGACCATGAAATAATTATTTTCACCCGTTGCCGATGGCCTCGTGAGGAAGCTTCCTCTTGGGTGTAGACGTCTGAGGTCAGCCCAAATCGCTGTCTGCTCCTTCTCGTTTTACACCTCGGAGTTGGAAAGGTACGGCCTGGTCACCCGCGCGATTCTGGCTCGAGTGTCCAACGGGAAGGAGGGAGATGAACGAAGATGCGAATGGCAACGCTACGTCCCTCTCCACCAGACCATGCTGTTAACAAGAAGACCTGAGTGCAAGGGGATTATCAGACCTACAACGGAAAGTTTCCACGACGTGGCCTTCACTAATAAAACTCCACAGATGTATCTGCTACCGCCGCGCACGATTGAGAAAGATGTCGCACGATCCGAGGCATCTAAAACTCAATACATGTGTAGCGCTTCGTACTGACGTCGGTATTGACATCCTCAACCAAGGACGTTCGGAATTAGGGGACCAGAAAACAGAGCCGTCTCCGAGAGAAGCAAACATCTGAACACAAACAATGTTTCACTCCGCCGTGACCTGACTTCGTAGAAACCCTAACGATCAGGAAACAACCCCCGCTGTTTCGTTGTTGCCGTGTCTGAACGTACGTGGAATGCAATTTTGTCAACAAGATTCAGGGCACAGCTCAAACGTGCGGAGCGTCGGATCTCTGACCACCTAGTCTATTCCAACCGTCCATCGCACTATTTTGCCCGCCCGCTCGATCGATAGTAGCTCAAGATCTCGCTCGATCGGCAGGCCGACCAAATAGGCTGGGCGGGTAAACGGCAAAGGCCTCCGTTTACGTCGACCCTCGCCACACCCTAGCCACTTACTAACCAACGAAGAGTCTCTCTGTGCATAGGTGTGCGTATTGTTCCTCAATCCACTGAAGGGCAAGCAATGATCACATCAACAACAGTTCCTACCAGTGCTCTCAATCTTATCGTGGGCACCATTCTTTCTCCCCCACCTAAGGACGTCGAGATAACATTTGTCAGCTGCCTCGATGCGTGTTTGTTTGTCCCAAGGGAACCCATTCTCTCTAGCCCATTTCAGAACGCCAAGGTGACCACCACGGGCTGCGTTACTGAATGTTGTCTCGTCCCATGGGCACCCATTCTCGCCAGATCATTTCAGGACGTCGAGGTGCCCACCAGCAGCTGCGATCCAGCATGCCCGCTCGTCCTAGGACATCAGTTCTCTCTAACAATAGCCCGATTCAGAACGATAAGGCGACCGATAATGAAATCTCCCCCAGATGTCTTCAGGGCATCCATTTTCCTCAGCCCATTTCAGGACGTCGAGGTGACCTTCGCACTTTGCGGCAAAGCATGTGTCGTCGTCCCAAGGGCACCCATTCTTCCTAGCCCATTTCAGGACGTCGAGGTGACCTCCCGCAGCTGCTTGAGCGCATGTCCACTCATCCCAAGGGCACCCATTCTCCCTAGCCCATTTCAGGACGTCGAGGTGACCCCCCTCGGCTGCCATACAGCATGTTCCCTCGTTCCAAGGGCACCCGGTTTCTCTGAGCCACTGGAGAACCCCAAGTTGTCCTCTTCTGGCTACCACGCCGCATAGTTTTGCCCTATGTCGTGACGTGAAAGACGAAATGAACTAGTCACCAGAGGAAGTCGCCGGCGCCGATTTATGTGCGATGTTCAATTGTTTGCTGACAACTCCCTACAAGTCGTAGGAATGGATCAGGATGTTCCATAATAAAATCCGGTACTCTCAAGGCGGGTGACCATGCAAAGGGAAAATTATCAAACCGTCTCACGTGCGGGGAACACCGGTGAGCTGATACGCTTTTATCACTTCGGCGTCGTTCTTGGCCCTTGCCGTCTCCACCAGCTTGATCGACAAGGACAAACGAGGGATACGACCACATGAGGATCAGTGGGGACTGCGTTCGACCTACGGAAATGTCGATATCGATTATGAACGGGTCCTGTATAGGTGGCCTTGTGAAGTTCATTACTACGTGAAAGAGTCTTTTTGCTTCAAGGTTTGAGGCGTAGTCAGGTCAGGAGTATGGCGGATGTGACTCACCGCTGTCCCTGGCCGCGCTTCCGCCACGGATCTTGCCCTTCCCCCCGCCCTGGCCCCCTTCATTCGGAACGAGATTCGGGTGGAGAAACGCGGGTCGAATACACTTGACAAGGGTTGAGAGATACATAAAAGCATTCAAGACTGGCGGCATGAAAAAACGGGAGCAATCGGCTCACAATGGCGAAACACATGAAGGTGTAAGAAGTCTGGCTTCAAACTACTGTACCGTGCGAGCCGTCACGAACGCTTCTCTCCGTCAGAGATGTTCGCCAACGTATGTATTGGCGTAATGCTTTGGTCAGTTCGAGACGCGGTAAGTAAGCAATGACAGCCAAATCACCACGATACCTGGCTCTTGTTAAGGGGCGTCTGATACGATGGTTTTCAATGTTCAGAAGTACATGAACGTGCCAGCCAGGACAAGTTTTTCGCACAGCCATTTCTCTACCATTTCACTCAAGTCTACACCGCTGTGATGTCCACCCAACACGCGCAGAACAACGATTCGCCTCGTTGATATTCCCTAGTGGTGAAAGCTCTCGTATACATGTTTCAGATTCTGCACTGCGATCGGAGCTGTAGACTCCTTAGGGTAAGAGCAAACCTTGAACCCACCTAAATACTCCGTGTGCAATAGGATATGCCAATGCTGGTAGACAAGTGCTCGATCATGCAGGCGGAACACTATACTGTTAAACGCGGAATAATCTTCCCCGAACATTTCCGGGACACGAACCCCTCTGCCTTGGTGACGTCCTGTAGAACTTCTGCACCGTATTTCGGGGCCAGAAAAAATGCCAAGACCTTGGCATTCAGGAGAGCACTCTCACGCTTTGCGGTTTCCCACGTTGTCATCGCAACCCTTGTTTCACAGTTGCAACGAATCGCCCTGCCCCACTGCTGCTACAGTGTATTAGCTTCGCCCCCGATATCTCATCACCTGGGAATCTTCAAGGCTTCCGGCAATCCTCGAACATGTGCGGGCGTGCCATAGCACACTCAGGGTCTTGATATGGCGCACGTTGCACACGACGGATTGGGGGAGAATCCACTTTATTCAGAGGTTGAACAGGCGGCCTAAGACCTCTGTTAGGTAAACTACATTGGTACAGATGAATGGCATACCCTTGGCAAAACTCGTGGTAGAGTTCAAAATGCATAACCTAGATGTGTGGGTACTGCGCGGGTGTACGGCGCATACGTATGAGAAGCCATGAGCGAGCTTAAATCACCGCTCATAGAATAAATATTGTGCTCGGACTGTATCGATTCGTATGCTCATACGGTGTGGCGCATGTCACTCTAATGCAGTCTAGGACAAGGACGACTGCCTTTTCCCCATGGCATACGGGGGGCGTTACGACTAACCTTGTTCCTCACGCGTGGATTGTAATGTCGACACTGTAATTCAATGCCGGACATTCAAGCTTGCCGAAACAAGAAATCACGAGTCCTCATCGCGTTGAGTAACAAAACTCACGTATAAGTTGTCCTCAGCTCGCTTAATGACCTCTTCTGACTTTTTCATGCGCTGCTCGAACCCTGGCGCCCGGAGGAATTGCTTGAATCTGTCCATGCTGCGGAATTCTTCGAGCTCCTTCATCGTGTCACGAATGTCATCGTTCATGTTGTCGATCACCCCTTTCATCGCTTTACGGTGCGCAGGGTGAAGCTGGCATGTTTGGCGGGAGTTAACGGTTCCACGAACAAACGACACACGCATGACGCTTGGTTTACCCGGGGATTTCTGAAAGGTCGTTCCACTAGGTCTAAGCATGTCCCCCAAGAACTGTAGGGCAGTTGGATCATGAACATACGTAGTCCAACCCCGGGGAAACCGCTTCAAATACCTGTATTCTCACGGAGACAAGCTAACCTACTTTTTTTACAACGAGGTAATTAGCTCTCACCTGTGCAAATCATAGCTATTCTCTGCGAGTTCGACTGGTGGTAGACAACCAAGCGTTCCATGCAACACAAGCGAGCAACCAGTAGTAGTACTCCACACATGCAGCTGATACTTCATGATCCAGTCAGGCAGGCGGGGTTATCACTCAAAGTTGCGATAGTCGATCAGTAGCGCTCAGGTCGGGTTGGTTCACAAAAGGGTTTTGTGTTCAGTTTCCGGACACCAGGTCACTGACAGCTCGGGCGGCGAGATCGCTGCAAGCTGTCATGCGGAGGAACCGCCAATGGGAATTCTCCCGAGGGTTTCCATTATTTACCCGACCGACTGTTACACCTTTCGAGAACACCCCACTGAGCACTCATGGGTAATGTCCCCGTGCCAATCACAGGGACGAGTACTCCGGACCCTTGTGCCTTGCGTCACAAGTGTCCATCATCACACTATTTAGAACCGGTGCGTACGGCCGTCCAAAACAGTATGCCTGTCCCATCGTGTGGGCTGCAGCTGTGTTGGGCTCCTTTTGTGGATGCAAGGGTCCCCTACCAGGTTCTCGCTAAAGTTGTCAAAAAAAGGTTGGATGGGAACCTGAAGTATGTTCACTGAACGCTTGTGCTCGGAATGATGTGCAGAGTACAAGTAAGTGCCATTGTCATACGTCGCGGTTTTGGTAACATCGTACACGATCAATCGTCGCCGACCGACCGACACGCTCGGTGTGGCTCACTCTGCGGCAAGCTGCTCTTTCGACACTCTCGCGCAATAAATCGTTGGCAGTCTTACCGCATCTCCTTCGGCCCGCATGACATGATCAACCTGCTCAAGCATCCAGAATATCGTCTGGCATCTCCTGGTGGTGCTAGGGTGTTCCTCTTCGATGATGGCTTGGCGTGAAACGAGGCGCTCGACAACCATCACCATGCCCTCTGATAGCTGGCGAACATGCGGGGACCTTGCCTTGGTCGCAAGCTGCTTCGCGAGACCGAGCACAAGAGTGTCAAGAGTGGAACTCTTGAAGCGTCGCTCATTCATGAGGGTCAGAGCGTGCACCTGCCCATCCAGCCAAGGGTGTGCAAAAAAACGTTATTGTACACCTAGGCACTCACTTTCTTATTAGGGGGGATTTGGGGGGGGGAGAGGTACGAAGTGAAGTGACCCCCCCCCTCCCCTGAACGCTATACTAGGTAACTCCTATAAAAAACCAAAGCATTCTACAGTAGTTCCTATATAAATGAAGGGGCACTGTGAGAAGAAGTAGTCACGGAGTCCATCGAAGGGAGAGGGCATTGGGAGGAAGAGACAGGCAGTGGGGCAGGGGTCGGGATAAGGGGAAGAAGACGAGGAGGAAGGGAGAGGAGAAGGAGGAGGAGCAGAAGGAGAAGAATGATGAATAGGGGCCGGACGCGCTCACGGGGCCTAAACTCCCCCCAAACCGGCGATTGCTAGGTTGTTGGTGTAGTTAGCCATTCGTGCAAGAATGTCTGAAAGGAGGATGAAGCGGCAGGCGAACGGAACACTTCAAATTACTCGCGACCTACGTGGCATACGTACTGCAGTCGTTTCCGTATAGCTTTGTGGGGTTCTTTTCGTTCACGCGCGTAGAGGCATGATGCTCTCATCTGGCCTTCCTTCGAGAGTCACTGTAAACTGATTCGACGATGTCATGTGGATGATGTGTGTGGCGTAACCAACAACACGGAAATAACGCCGCAGGCACGTGTGAGACGCATTGTAGTGTCACAGTGCTGCGTTTCATCTATCTGTGTACGACAGGTTAAATAGCAAGTTTGGTCCGGCAGATATAGCCGATGCACTACTGTTGATTGAAACCGTCGAAATTACCAGAGGCATTTTTGTCCCTGAACTTCGGGGTATGATAATATAGAAGAGCATTCTGGAGTGGTCATTTTCCCGCGGTGAGTTCATGTGCAAGGAGAAGGCCGGCTGGACAGGCGTGCAATAGCAGAACTACACACAACAGTAGCAGGTGGGCTCAGAGAGAAGGATACCAAGGATTGGCCAGGTTAGGAGGCCAACAAATTTTGACTTCCGCTGTTGAATGCATACAATGAAAACACAACAAATCTGAAAGTGGGCCCTCTCCGGGGGGGTACCTAGGTGTGCGGAATGACTTTTGTCGGACACCCTTGATCCAGTGACCCTTCTCGGCGACCGCCCACGGAAAATTCTTCCCCGCTACTTTTTGGACCGACAAGATCAGCCCAGCGCACTCGGTGAAAACAGGTGTGGTGGAAGTTGATTGTTGAGTCCACCATGGCCTCGCTTAAGGACACCTACCTGTCGATGCAGCGTGTTGAAGTGTCTTAAATCGCCCATTCTGCACACGAAGTAAATGATTCGCAACTTCGGGGGTTCACTCGGACGCGGCACTTCGCCAAACTGAGGATTATTTTTCCGGGTAGGACTCGAAAAACTGTAGTAATGAAGCTACAAATGCACAATACACATGGGAATGATATTTTGGGGGTTGGTTGACGTGTTTCGGCGACGGACCAATATTCGTAGAGAGTTGCGACGTAGGAGTACCTAAATTTACAGACTATTTGTAGCCCAACCTACAGACAGACGCCGTCAAATCGGTTGCTTCCCACCTGAGGGTTGCGGCCGCCGTACGTCGACTTCCACAGGATGTAAAGGCCAAACAGGACAACCGCCCATACTAGTTCCGCCGGCATAGTGTTTGAGGATTCCTGCAAAGATGGGTTCCAACATAACATGGTCCAATAGATTCGATCTACAGTTTGTAGACGAACCCGTGAACGTATTGTACATTCGGACGCAAATGTGGGCGCGTAAACAGCGACATTATGAAATGTTTGGACTGGTCATTGCTCGATAGGAGAAAAAATTTACAGGTGCTGACGAAATATGACTACATGCTGTAGTCTTTCCCCCCGTGTGTTACAAGCTTCAGATAGCATTGTAGCCAAGGAGCTAACCTGCCCCAGTTCAACCCGCTGAAGGTGCAGAAACTGGACCAGTTCTGCTGCACGTACCATGGACGTGCTTTCACATCCCTTTGTCGAAGTTAGCAAAAGGTGCACCGTGCACATATTATATGTAGTACAGATACGTGTGTCCCTGATGCGTGTAGTACATCAGGTCACCAACATAGCACGACACGAACACAGCGTCTGGGGTACACTGGGCTATGTCTTTACATCTCGCGTTGTAAGCGAACACCATCATATCGCTCGTTTTTCACAGCACTCAGTTCGCCACATGAGCGCGAGGGCGTTGTCTCTGTGCTCGCCTGCATGTATGCATCGAACCAACCTAAGGACCCGGTAAGGAATATTGTCGAAGTTCCTACCCCGGTTATGACGCTCGACGAAACGGTACCTGTGGTGTTTTGGAAGTTTATCTCTCTTGCGACTCGGGTTCCACCGTCCACAGGGTATTGCAGTATATCGTCAACAACAACAAAGCAAGGTCTCTCAGAATAACTCTTCTATCTTGGAGTATATCTAGAACAGTCAAAGAATCAAAACACTTAGTCTACGCGTCGCTGGAGAGCACATTAACCACAACCAAGAAAGTCTTCATGCAGTTACTTTTGTCGCCACGCATGGTGCTGCTTTGGGTGGTCATGGCGGACTTGGGTTTGAGTTGAGGCAGCGCGTTCGGTTTGTATCTTGGATTGCTAGACTATATCTATATAGCATACGCATAAACGACCAACGCATGCAGCATGAAAGCCATTCTTCTTTTGCTCACCACCCAATCTCCCACACTGCTGACAGGTCCTCTAGGAGACCGATACGGTCTCCAGAGGTTTCACAGAACGTTCATGAAAAAAAGTGTGTGTCTGTTCGTCTTTCTGTCGCCGTTCACTCCGAAGCTCCGAACCACGCGCTTTTTTTACCCGAACGCCCTAAGGCGCAAGGAATCATACCACCGGCCGCCCTGCACTACTTGAGAGGCCCTAACCAAGTTTCAGCTTGATTGGCGCCTCCTGCGTTAACGTTTAGCTATGTCGGTGAATGGCATTTTCCAGCACGAAACACGAGCGAGCATGAGGCAGGTGCTTCAGGCATCAAATTGCGCTCCGATCTCGATGAGTTTGTGCCTAAATGTTGCCTATTCTGCACCAAATTAAGCCCCGTCCAATCTACAGCTGGATTGACAAGCCCCTCGACGCTGGAATAGCTGTGTGCTGCCAAGTCTGGCCACACCGCTGCAACCTTCCGACGCGGAGTTTTGCGCCGCATGTCGCACGAACACAACAATTTCATGATTGATGACTCTCTCTTTCGTCGTCGGAACACATCATTGTTATGCACCCATCCATCCATCCGTTGTACAATAACTCCAATCTCGGCCAATTTGAACGTACGTGCGTATAAGTGGCCTCATTACTGCCCGGGATGACCCTTCCAACGACAGGGTCGAGGCACACATCTGTCGTCTGCTCAGCGGAGACACCGCGGTAAGGGTGCTTCTTATCGACCAATAAAACACGAAAAAAAAAACGAAACCGTTTTTTCTTGAACACATATGGAGGCGTTTTTGAACGAAAGCGTGAAAAGAAGGAGCCCGGTTTTTTTGGGGCTTGCTACTTAAACGAATTCGTGTTTTTGACAGAAGCATCGGACAAGCGCACCGCAGGCGCTGTAACATCACTGAGAACGCTAGAAAGACCTGCCAGACTCACGTCCAGGTCTGTTGTGGAGATGGACAAGCGGCAGAAGCGGCGTTCAGTCCGTTCTTGGTCCAAAACTAGACATTGCGTGGTGCTCTCGTCTTCAACTGGTGCTGTTGGTACTGGGGAATTTTTTTCGATCACACATAGCAAACACGGAAACAGTAGAACGAGTACAGCAGCACCACCAAGACCTCCAAAGCGCTGATTCCTTCGGTTCGGCTGTCTATATGATACCATCTCCCGGCGCCGTGCTGCTTCGTGGGTATTGAGTGCTTGGGTGCTGCTCAATAAGGTGTGTGAGAGACGTGTGCCACCTCACCAAAATGCCGTTGGAAAAATTGCGGCGAGATGATCTGTTTTTGGTCGGACACATCAACATCAATCCACGGCGTCACGCAGCAGTAGAGCAACAGGGCCTCCAACACGCTAATTCTTTCGGATTGGCCATCTATATGATGCTGGCCGTCAGCGCGGCTGCCGCCCTGTGATTGTTGAGCTCGTCTACCTTTGGGTAGGTGGTGGTCAAAGATGGGAGTCGCAACCGTGAAAAATGAGCTGGCAAACTGAAGAAATCGCAAGCAACACCCAGGTTGCGACACTCTGCCGTGCGCCTGTTGTTGCTAAAAACTGAAAACAGCAGGCCGGGTGGACGGGATCTTTCTAAGTGTGTTGTCCTCTGTGCCGGGTGCTGCTTATTGCGCTTTTATCGCTGCTCTATGGTGAGCAATACCATGTCAACCTGTTGTGTGCCGAGCAAAGCGTGTATTCAGGGAAGGAAACGTGCTTTTTTTGATGACATCACGAAAAGAACAAGCAAAAAAAAGTCGGGTTTTCTTTCAACCGTTCCGTTTAAAAAAGAACGATTTCGACGTTGCGTTAACAATAACCCTAACGCTGCCACTATCTCCGCAGAGGATATTCCGCCGCATTTCGACGGTTACTATTTTGTTAAACGACGCGTGCATAATCCATAATTAATTGTTGTTGATTACAGCAGCAGTACTTCGGTCTTGTCTGAAGAAAATCCATTTTTTTGTAGTTAGTTATACTCCATCAAATTACTGAAGCCCAGTTCAATATTCAGTTGGAATGAGACTCCCTTCGATGCTGGAATAACAGTGTGTCTACCAATTTCGCCTATCAACAAGAGGTTCGGGCCACCCGAGCCACATCGTTGCATTGCAAGAGGTTCGGGCCACACCGCTGCAACCTCCCGACGAGGAAGTACAATCCGTAATTCCGCGCATATCGCACGCACATCAACAACGAACTTGACACACACACACCTTGATTATTGAGGACTATCTCTTTTCGTCGTCGGAACACATCCACCCATGCATCAGTTGTACAATAACTCCGATCTCGACCAATTTGAGCGTGCGTATAGTGGCCTCTCTGCCCGGTATAACTCTTCTCCCAGCGACAGGGTCGGGGCACACATCTATCTAAGTCTATCTGTCATTTGCCCCGCCGATACATCGCTGACACCTTCCCTGGGGAGGATGTTCCGCCGCATTTCGACAGATACTACAGTATTGTCGCGCGCATTTATGTTGCGAAAATAGAGCGGATACCTTCTCCTTCGGATGGAGCTGGGATGATAAGCGGTGGCGAGCAACTCTCTCTCTCTTTTCTCGTCTGAACACACCATTATCATCATCCATCCATCCTTCCATCCATCCATCCATTGTTGTAAAATAACTCCGATCTCGACCAACTTGCGCGTGCGTGTATATAAGTCTATCTGCCATAAAATTCCAATCTACTACGGAACTATTACCCACTTTTTCGGGGCCGGGAGTATTGTAGCCTGCCAACGTCAGGGTCGACATCCTTTTTTTTTCTTTTTTTTACCGGCTACTCATTCAGCCGTGTGTCGGCGGTTATGTTATTTTTTGTTGCGTTTTTTTTTTCGCGTTGGCGCGCGCATTATGTTCTTTGTCGGTTCCTTTGACAATATCTTACTATCTAGACTACACATCCAAGAACGTACGATGGAGAATGGGTAATTATTCATGCTCTCTACTACTACTGCTGTACGTGCTCGACAGGTATTTGTTTACGCGAGCACATCATATCAATATATTACAGACAGGAATCGTCGTGGTTGTCCGTCGTTCCAGTAGAAAATAGAGTCCCCTAATTTTTTCCCCTGCGAAACATAGTCTACGCGGTCAGTCTCACGCGCATCTTTCATGATAGATGCCGACACACGCCGCAAACTACTAACAGCAAAGAGCATAGACCCCGCAGCACACGTCGGCAGTACTTGTAGAGCTACCGCAAGCCATAGGGGTAGCGCGGCTTTGATATTGCACGCATCCACACGTCGCTGTTTTCGCAGCAGCACGCACAGCTGTTTTATGCACACGTTCAATCACGCGCAAACGCATGGAAAAGGCCGGCACACATTGCGACTGATTAACAGCATAGGGCACACACACGCAGCACACGCCAGCCGTACTTGCAGACCTAACGCAAGCCACTTAAGGTAAGCGCAGCTTCGACGCATGTATGCATATCTACAGCAGCAGCAGCAGCACGCTTGATACAACACACAGGTGTACGCGACAGCAACGTTCTCCTCTCCGCGTAATAACTGTCCGCATGAGACGAGAAAAAAGCACCCTACTTTGCCCTACTCCCTCTCCGCGTAATAACTGTCCGCAAGAGACGAGAAAAAAGCACCCTACTCTGCTATACTGTAGTCTGGTGCGTGTCCCTATGCATCACGACGAAAGCAGTGGAGTTGCGGCGCTGTTGTGCGTCCAGCATATGAATCCGCAAACTGTTGTAATGCAGTGTCCGGAAGATTCCCGCGAAGTATGGAGTAAATGTTCGAGGTCATCAATACTGCCTGTCCAGAACCTCGGTTCGAGTCCATGATCGACCTCTTTTTTTCGTACTGTTGTCCACATGTTTGTCGAGTATTTTGTCCAGGGCTTCTTTGTTGGTTGTTCGTTCGTGAAAAGTTGGTGTGTTGGTGTGTGAGTAGACACCGGTCGCCCCGGTGGTCTAGTGGTATCCTCGTAAACCGCCAGTCGCAGATGTCGAACATTCGAATCCCCATGGATGGGGTGAAAGTTTTACAATTTTTTTTGTGGGTGAAAGCGAAATACAGCTGAAAAGCTCTCGTGAGTACCAAACGTCGACGTTAGCACCGTTGACGAGGGAAAGGGACGGCTGGACCCTTCTCGCGAATGAAAATAAAATTCAGCACGCACCGCAGAGAGAGGAGGAAGGTGGGGCGCATGATACTAAATAAAAGAAGAAAAAGCCCTGGTGTTTACCCCCTCCTGTGTGACCCTGGATGGTTGTAGTTTGTCCGAAAAAGTACACTGAAAAGTAGTACACTCTACATACATACATAAGCTGAATAGTGTAGTACACGTCTCACCACGAAAAATG